ATGTCTATGTGAGCCTGGGCTACCACGCCGACTGGCTTAACTCTAATTAGACGCACACTATGTGTAATGTTTAATTAACAAAATGGATATACGTTGCAATCCGATAGATAAGACCCCAGCACCAACCTGAGCAAATATCATAATTTAGTCATTTGATAACTGCTGTTACTTTCTCTGCTTCACCAGTCCCAGCGGCAGCGTAACAGCTTGTTAATTCATGTTTGTGCAATGATGAGACGGACAAAGTTAGCTGATGCATGCCATTTTACCCTCTCGTGCAGATAAAAGTTGTCAAAGTTACAGTGCACAAAAACCTCTGGGTGAACGGACCTGAATTAACTGAAATAAAAGCAGAATATATATGTTCTTTCTCCGTTTTCTGAATTACACAGCACAGCGAGAGCACACGTCGCACGAGCACATTTCTCCGAACTACACTACCCATAATGCATTTCACTCGGAACTAACTGTTACGCCTGTAGATAGTTATCTTCAGCATCTCCTGCAACACTATCGTTGATATGACTGCGATAAGCGCGTGCTTCTGACGATGCGTGTAGCTGAAATCAACCACACACATCACAATGAAAACATCGGCCTTAGAAATAACGAACGTGAACACTGGGATAATCGCCGATGTATATGGCGAACCCCTGTTGAAATGCATACACAAGAATGCTTATTTAATTTAACCTGTTTCATGTCCGTTACTATCTGCGTTTCCTCAGAGCTATTACATATGCTCTAAACTAACCTTTGCTCCAGCTGTATAAAGACGGATGCTAAATGCTGCTGCTAATATGCTTAATATTTGCTCCTGCATACAATGCAAACTGCTAACATGACACTTAGTTTAAACTTGATTATGGTTGCTCCTTTTTTAATTCAATTAGGCAGACCAAGCAATAAACACAGCGATATGGATTAGAAGAGCATTCACTTATCTTAGATATTGATTTCGCTGTTCTGAAGCAAGCTGCAACTGCTACAGCAAGCACTAGTCATATATTTGAATGTTGAGCAGCGAGCTCATTGGCTACCAATACAGGAGAGAACCAATCAGCTGTGCCATGTGATAATGATGTCATTAGGTCAGACTGAGTTAGACCTATCGGCCTTCGCCATCTAGAGTTTCATGCCAGAACTCTGTATTTCACAAACACTAGTTCTGTCAGTCAAACACTAGTTCACAAACACTATATCTGTCAGTCAAACACTAGTTCAGTCAAACACTAGTTCAGTCAAACACTAGTTCTGTCAGTCAAACACTAGTTCAGTCACGTCCAGTGCTCTCGGTTGTAGGGTAAGATGTGCATTTGTAACATATTTAGATATAAGTTTAGCATGTGCAGGATGATGATGATGATGATGCATTGTTATGTTAATATAGGAAAGAAGTAAAAACATTTGCTCATTTAGTTATAAAAGAGGGGTAAGTTGCCCCCTACTGGATAAACTTTTACAGAATATATAAATAACTTTTGATATAACTCTTAGTAATATTTATATATTTTTAAAGTGCGGTTAAGGTTATTGGTTAATGTAAATGAGATTTTGTGCCGTCTGTGGCCAAGGGAAAGCATGAATGTGGGTGTCATGTGACCCGGTCTGACCCTCCTGCTGTCCAGTGTCTGTCGTCACTGCTGACCTTCATGTTTTGCTTGTATCTGTTCAGGTGCTGATCCTTCAGCTGGAGAGACAGAAACACTGGAGGCTTTACCAGCCCACCGTCCCTCTGGAGCCCGAGGACCGACACATGACTTCATCCTGCAGGTTTGAGACTGAAAAGACGACGAGGTGTTGAGACATGTACTCTTGTGCTTGAATAGGTGAATCTGCTGTTGTTGCTCTAGCCTGGGGACCTGCTGTATTTCCCCAGAGGAACCGTCCATCAGGCGGAGCAATCCACTCACACTCAGCTCCTACCAGAACATGTACTGTGTCTGCGCTCGATCACGTGTGCTTCACAGACACAGACTCTTCACAGCTGTGAAAGCGCTCGGTTAACCCTCATTAGAGTCAGTATAATTCAGCATAAGTGTCATTATGAGAAGCAGGGTTTCTGTGGGTCTTAATTCACCCTTCCACAGTTTAAGGCCTTAAATCAGAGCAGAAAGTCTGAAATTCATAAAGTCGTGGCATTAAATGTTGCATGAACTTCAAAAACTGAATCTCTTCCTCAGTATTTGTCTTGTGTTCCAGTACAAATAACTAAACATCCTTAAATCAAGAATCATTTACTGAAGATGCAAAATGAAGATATGAAGTCTTGCTTTCTGAGAAATTGATAAAAATAAAGTGAGTTTATGATTAAAACAAGAACAAATATCTGTCAATGGGGTCAGAAAAATAACTTTGTTTTCCCTGTGAATTCAGTTGATTTGGCAGATATTTGTTCTTGCTTCAATCATTTTTCTAATGTCATTTTACGTCTCCAGTAAATGAAGGTTTCTTCCATTTTAAAAAGTCTTACATTCACCTTCATAAAACCTGCAGAAACCCTGGAAAAACAGACAGGCAAACCTTCAACATTAATAGTTCTCATACGTTACAAAAAAAGAAAAAAGATAAACATGAGAGCATATGAATTTTTTGTTTTTTAAGATTTGAACATGTTAAACTGAGGTAGTGTGGGAAAGCACTTCTTTTCCTGAAGCTCAAGCAGCAGAGCATTGAGCTCGCAACGCCAAGATCAAGATCAATTCCCAGCCAAATTACACTCTGATGTACGCCATCAACACATTGTACATTTCTTTTCTAGTATTTCTGACAACTCAGACGTGGGTCAAACTGACAGCATCAGTGTTCAGATGTGAACTCTTGTGTTTCAGGTCGTTTCACTTCATGCTGGACGTGATTCCCAGCTGTGTGTTTGACTGCATGAGACGCGATCCGGTCTGCCTCGTAACCTCCTGACGGTGAGCACAGCACTTCACCAGACACACTAGCACTGACTGTGGCTTTAACCGTGTGTGTGTTTCCTCGCCCCGATGCCTCAGGCTCCCAGCTTCGGTCCTGACGTTAAGCAGGTGAATATATTATTTTTATTTATAAAACTGAGAGTTCCGGTGCTTGATTCTGATTGGCTGAGCTGCGTTCAAAGCTGTTGTAAATTACTCTACAAAGTAACACACACCTTTGTTTACGTTTGTCTGTTGCTCGGCAACCACTTTGTTGCAACCACAACTGTTTCTGAGGAACTACATTGTTTGGTGGAAGAATACTGTTTTTATTAATATCATTATTTACACTTTATTTACTACGTATATGGAATAACCGTTTTATAAAAGCAATAAGCCCCGTGAAGCCGTGGTTTACAGTGAACTTATAACAGCTAAGGGAGTTTTACGCACTCTGCTTCGCGTCGTAACAACGCCCCTTAGCTGTTATAAATTCACTGTAAACCACGGTTTCACGGGGCTTATTGCTTTATTTGAATATTATTACTGTCTCTCTGATCAGGACGAGGCCACAGAGCTGGTCGTGTTTGTGTTGCATTCTTTGAAGAACAAGAGAGAAACACACATGATGGGAACATCTGATGATGATGAGGATGAAGAGGTCGTCTCGCAGGTCCGTCAGACTAACAGTGCTCATGTGTCTTGCTTGTGCAGTCGCACCGCTCTCACGCTGAGCTTCTTCAGTCTCCGGGTCTGAAGGATGAAGGTAAACTGGGGCTGCTGCTGGGGCTGCTGCAGGTCTGACAAACATCATCAGTGCATGTGCTGAAGATCTGAAAACGACCGACACGCTGGAGCTCAACCTTCTGTGTGTGTCTGTGGTCCTCGTGAATCTTCATCAGGAACAAACGTCTCAGAACTGTGAGGGGTTGTGTGACTAATGGTAGCTGAATGCTGAATAAAACAAACTGTGTGAAATATCGTGCAACAAATATTCAAATGAACACACGTAATGCATTTTACGGTTTCAATTTATTGTTGCGATTCTTTAAAAAATGCTGCTTTTGAGCGTCGCCGTACACGTTATATGTTTGTGGTTCATTTACGGCGGACTCGAAACACACGTTAGTGTTCCTGAAGGACTCCAGTGAAATGACTAGCTTTAACCTTCTGAATGCTTTCGTGACACTACAGCTGGAGCCAACACTTCCAGGCGGACTGAAGCATGACTACATCTGAAACATCTGCAGAACGCATGTGAGGTTTCTGCTAGTGCAAACGCGCTTCACAAGATAAAAACAAACACCTCCACTGTCACAGTGCAGTTTCAAACCGTGCTAGACTGTCCTTTCCAGGAAAACGGCCCAGAATCAGTTATTGGCTTGTAGCTGAGCACTCTGAATGATGTGCTCTGGTCTCAGTCCCTGATATGCTCACGTGTGTTGCTGTGTTTCACAGCACGTCGATGTCCCAGGTTTGAGTGGCGCTGTCGGCGTGAAGCGGACTCACAATCAGATGATCTCTGTCCGCGCCGCATCCACCTGAGAGACACAAGACCTTCAGATCAGAACACACTTAAACAACACCTAATATTCAGTCATATTACTGATCTGACCACACTGACACAAAACCTGAACTGATCTGATGTCTTTCCAGCGGAATCGAATTGGTCTCATTTGGTTGTTATTTTCCTGTTTATTACTGTGAAGCTGCTTTGAAACGATCTGTATTCAGGGCTGGTTTTATGAAGGTAAATTTAAGACTTAAGAGCTTTTTAAGACTAATTTATCTAATAAAGAAAATTTAAGGAATAAATTGAAAGTCAAGTCAATTTATTTCTAGAGCAGAGTTTAAAACAACTTAAGAGTTGACCAAAGTGCTTTACATTAATCATGTACAACAATATTCCAACAGAGAGATTAAATTAATCTCTACAATACATTAAAAGCCAGAGAAAACAGATGAGTTTTTTTAACTTCGCCCTGCAGTCTGTCAATGTTGTAGCAGTTCTGACACACAGTGGAAGGCTAACCCTCTCGTATACAAGTCTTGCCCTAGGAACATTCAACAACCTCTGATCTCCATGAGTTGTGTAAAGACAACACACTTGACAGATACGCTGAATGACAGAATCTTAAAATCAACTCTATACTGGACATGAAGCCAATGAAGGGACATCAAAATTGTGGTAATATGTTCAGGCCTTCGTACACCCCGCAGAGTTTTGCACCAGGAACACAACATGTCATTATGTCTAAATGTAAATGTAGAGGGAGCACAAAATGTCTTGTGTTAGCAACACGTCAGAGTTTGAAACTACGTCCCACAGATCTCCATTACTTTGTAAATCATTGAACAGAAAGGCTTGAATATCTCGACTCCAAACACTAGAACATGGTCTGAGCACACTGCAAACAAGTGCTGCTCTTCCTTGCTATTTTCCGTTTAGTTTTTCAGTGCAAATTGTCCTTTGCAAATTTTAAAATCAAGATGCAAAAAAGAGATCTTGTTTCTGAGAAATTGATCAAAAAGTTGTGAATTTATGATAAAAAAAAAAAGTTAATTCATTCCTCATTGACAGATATTTGCTCTTACATAAACTGTGATTTGACTTCACTTCTTCATTTTGCATCTAAAGTAAATGTAAGAATGTTTAGATATCTGTACTGGAAAACTATACAAAATCACTGACAGAGATATTCAATTGTATTTTTCCATTATTTACAAAAATTCAGTTCTTTTTTTTATATATATTTTTTGCGGTGCATGCAACATTTAATGCCATGACTTTATGAATTTAATTTCTGCTCCAATTTAAGAGCTTTTGAAGACCCACGGAATCGGGCTGTAGAAAGAGCGCTAATAAATAAATGTGACGCACACTGTGCTTCTGCTGGAGAAGGAGCGTCCTCGTACCTCTGAGGTCCAGCGCCAGGCTGCGGTTCAGATGAGAGCAGATGCTTCCGTCCTCATTCAGACTCCAGCGCTGGTTGACACGCCCGTGCTCTTCCCATAATGCCACTGGGGCCCCGGCACAGGCTTTCGCACCGATCACAGACAGACAGCCCCCCCGCGCCTGTAGGAACACACGCGCACGTGTTGCAAAAACTGTAAAAACCAACACTGACGCTATTGGTTTACAGCAGAATCTGAATCGGTTTATTTCTGTGAAGCTGCTTCGAAACCATCTGTAGTGTATAAAGTGCTGTAGAAATACGTTTTTAACAACTTGTTTTCTGCAAATTGTGATGACAATATGAAACCGTGACATCTAGAAGAAGAAACGTCTTCCTACAAATATCTGAGAAGACTTTCAGCTCATGCCGTGGTTTATAATTTTTGATCAGATGCTGTCGACAGACGAGGACATGTTCTCCTCACTGACCGCGTTCTTCAGCAGGCCGTGGCTGAAGATCCAGCGCTGCGTGTCCAGCGAGCGATCGGTGGGACTCAGGAAGAGTTTGGCTGGAAAGGACCCGTCTGGAAGACTCTCGCTGGTCAGAACTGAACCCAGAGCTCGGCTCCGCAGCTGGATGTACGCTTTGGGCTGAGGAGAAGACAGGAACACACGTGGAGACACAGGAGTGGGATTGACAGAAAGATGCTGTGTTATCTGTTTGGGGTTTCAGTTCAGATCTCATTCAGGACGAAAGCTACAACAGAATTACATTACGTGATCTTAACTAATCACAGAAGCTGGACAAAAACCGGCTGAACTTCAGGAAAAAGCCCACTGGTGCCATAACTTTAAACTTACTTAAAAATCACATTACAACAGCGTTACATGTATTAATAACACAAGCTGAACTCTGAAGACTCTTTGACGACTAAACGCTGATAAATACTTACAGACTCCTACAAGATATATTGACATCAAGCAGAAGCTCATCAAAACTGCAATTAAAAGCACAGATTTTGTTTCTAACGTTCCCTTCACAGCAGCTGCTTGGATCGTAGACAGGACAGGAATCCTGAATCAAGTTTCATTTGCTGCTTTAATATGAATTTGTGCAAAATTCCAGATTGAATGTTTGTATATCAGATTCACTTTGATCAGACGAAACACGAATCTCTTGCATTATGTTCACACTTTTTGAGCAGATTTGTTTTGTGCCTTTGACCGGCCATTGCATTCACGTCTGTGACTGGTTACAGTGCTCAACGCTGCAAAAGCACGATGTAAACCAGTAAACCCAGATGCATACAGAAGCTGTAATCAGCTAACTGAACTGTGGCATCCTGTGAGAGCGGTCACTGACGATGAACTGAAAGCTGACCTGTCTGAGAGGCTTCAGCGATCCGATCGTGTCCCAGCCGCTGTGTTCTGTCCAAACCGGATACCCTCCCGGCTGCAGCAGCATCTGCCGGCCCTTAAAGCGAGCGTATTCATACGCCACCCACCTGTGAGACGACAGCGGCATGCATCACTGATTCTGAGGGACTTTAGGCAGGAGCGCGAGTGATAACGAGCTCTTACAGGCCGCTGTGGACTCTCACAGACTGGAGGAAGAAGTGGCTCATGTTCTCCGCGTCTGAACACCAGCGATCCTCAAGGCCTTCAAAACCGCTGAGAGAGAAGAGACTCACGGACGGCTCCGCCAAACTCTGAACGGAGCAACAAACAGACACTAACTCACGTAGTTTCTGCAGATTTGGTGAAGCCACATGTAAGAATTTAAGACAATTTAAGTTGAATGGAACACAATATATCAATATGCTCTCTAAATATGAATGTCTTATACATAAAAAAAAAAATACAACTTCCTACAGATTTGACAAAAAATATAATATCATCTCTGATACAAACACTAGAATATGGAAATAACTTTGACTGAATTTCTGATCACACTGCAAAACAATGATTTGTCCTGTTTTCTAGTGGCAAACGTCTAAAGACACTTTTAGTGGAGATGCAAAATAACAAGATATGAAGTCTTGTTTTCTGAGAAATTGATCAAAATGAAGCAAGTTTATGATTAAAATAAGAACAAATCTGTCAGCGGGCTCAGAAAAATCAACTTAATTCAAAGGGAAACAAGTTTTTATTCCTCACTGGCAGATATTTGTTTTTGTTTTAATCATAAACTCACTTCATTTTGATAATTTTTTAGTAAACATATCTTCATTTTGCATCTGCAGTACATGATTCTTGATTTAAGGATGTTTAGATATTTGTACTGGAAAACTGAGGAAGAGATTCATTTTCTGCAGTTCATGCAACATTTAATGCCACGACTTTATGAATTTAAGGCTTTCTGCTCTGATTTAAGACCTTTTAAGGCGAAGGATGAATTAAGACTTTTTAAGACTAATGTCAGTCACTACACAAAAGTTTATTTCTTGTGTCTCCTGAAGTATTGTGGAGGACACTGGTTCTCAGAGACTCACGTATGGAATGGGCTTTAAAGACTTGATGGCTGTGGATGTGCAGCCACAGGAAGTGAGGTCAGGGTAATGCCCCTCCCCCAGGATATACTGGTTACCAGAGTAACACTCCTCATCGAACAGCAGCCACCTACAAGAGAGAGAGAAATAATTTTTTTTATTTCAATACACCTTTATTAATTCAAAACAGAGTTATCGACAACACAGTAACCCTGTATCCAAAACACAGAAATGGATAAAATACAAAAATGTGATTTCACTCAACACAGTCCCAAAAAATCAAACATTCTCCACAACAGCACATAAAACATTTTTAAAACACCATATGCTTGTGAACTCTTCTACATTATATGTAGTCCTATAGAATTCAAAATCAGCTTTCAGTCTGGCTCTCATCATTGTGTTTACATCAAAATCTTAAGACACTTCTATCCTATTTCTTCTGCTTGGGTCGAGAGCCATTTTTGCTTGACCTAATGTAAAATTCAACAACAGACATTTCACTCTCTACTTCTGACTGTATCTAAAACAGAGAAGAAACAAATGCTTAGAAAACATCTCTCCAAACATCAGAAACAACTGAAAAAAAGAAGTCTGTCACAATCCAAATAGCAAACACAAAGGCCAATTGTGACCCTGGAGCACAAAACCAGTCACAAGGGTACATTTTTCAAAATTGAGATTTATGCATCATCTTATTTACAATGTATTTTTGGTTATTGCTACAAATATACCCCAGCGATTTAAGACTGCTTTTGTGCTCCAGGGTCACAATTATCACTTACATGGGATTAATAACAGAAATAAAAGCATTGACAGCCACAACACCATGTAGGATTCTCCTCTGTAAATCTCCGTCCTTCTTTGTCGGCGGTGGTTTGTATTTCTCTCTCCACACAGGTCTGATCTCACTGTCAAGCCCTAAATGAGCTCTCCAAGGAGTTCAGCTCTACCACTTAGTTTAAAATCTTGACAAACAATTTATACATAATTTGTCCTTCCATAACATCCAACATATTGGTAAGAGTCTCTCTGACCTCTAACAATTGACCAGTACAGTCTCTCAAATCAGGAAAAAGGGTCAATGCAGGAAAAAGATCATCAACTATTGGTTGGCATTGTCCATTACAGTTCTCATTTAGCAAAGAAGGTTCAGTCTTTGTGAGCTCACACTTCCAAGAGTTGAGCAGTTGATTTATGACCCTGGAAGATTTAACTCCCACATGAGAGGCTAGACCTGCAGCGCAAATCAAGCAGTGTAACAATCCCAGTCGAACAGAACAACTGCATCACGAAGGGTCCTACTATAATCTCTACTCTGAAACGGGTCCCATGCACTACTAGTCTTTTAATAGCCACGATAAAGACTCGCAGCTTGTTATTCTCTGTTTATGGATCATCCCCCAACCAATAAACAGTCCTTGATAAAACTAAATAAAACTGATTAAAAAAAAAGTCCATCAAAAACAGAGGCTCAGCAGGACCCAAATTCCAGCCTCGGGTCAATATGGTTCGGGTTAGGGTCTCCAAACAAGGTCCATGGGCCTGACCAAGAGTGGGAAAGCAGTGAGATGAATGAGAGATGAATGAATGGTAGAAACAGTACGCTCCGTGGGACCCAATGCAGGCGGTCCCAGAAAAAGTCCACCAAAACCGCTTGTATCTCAGCCAGCAGTTGTTCTGGAGGATCCATACATGATAATCAGTGCCACAACACCAGATTGTTGATCACTGGTATACGACCCCGAAAAGACATGTGTGGCAAGATCCATTCCCATTTTCTGAGACGTTCTTCAACTTTCTCTAAATCATTTTCCTAATATTTACACACAAAAGTATCATCACCAAGATATTTAAAACCACCCTTGTTCCAAATTAACCCAGCAGGCAAAACAAGTTTCTTCCTTAACTCATCACTGATTGTTACGGCTTCACTTTTTCCCCAGTTAACCTTAGCAGAGGACAATTAATACACCAAATATCATTAATATTTTCTACAAGGGAGTTAATATCTTCTTGTTTCTTGACAATGACAACATCATCACTGGCATATGCAGATCATCTAAAAACTCTTTCACACTCAGGAAGGCTTTCTCTTTGTGTTGGAGAGGCTCTATGGCCAGGGAGTACAGCATGACAGATGATGAACAGCCTTAAAGGGAGCACTTCAATCATCGCTGATCTTTAAAATCCTCTCCATGTCACTGTACAAGACTCCAATCATGTTCATAAGAACAGAGCTCAACCCAAACGCCACAAATACTGATGTTCAACTCTGTCAAAAGCCTTGTTCTATTGAAATCAGACAAAGTTCCCAGCCCAATGAATTGGAGAGGAACAAAATATCACAAATTAAAATAATGTCGTCTGATATCAACCTATTGGGGGTATACAGTAACACTTCACTAGCACACTCTCACCGGACACGAACCAATCACATGCCCTACAGTTCCACACCCAAAACATTTCAGCGTTTCTGACGTTACTTGCAGTATAATCAGAATCATCAACCTTAAACTTAAACACCAAGTTTAAATCTTCATCACTCTTTTTGAGAATCACTTGAATTTGTCTCCTAAAAGACACACCATGTTTAAGATGAGGGGACTTTCAGCTGATAGGAATCATCTTGATCAGAAACACTACTTTTCCATGTTTTTCCAAAAGCTTTTTTTTTCCGAAACGGGGGTGCATTCGAACTAATGACCTTTTTAGCAAGAAGGACCCTGGATTACTATTCCACTCTCAAGTAGCTGATTTACTTTGTCCACATTGTCTAGAAAGATCACATCGGCACTATTCTTTCTGGAAGCAGATTTAACACTTTCATATTCAACAATCTCACCTTCCGCTAAACTACACTCTTCAACCGAACACCCGTCAGGCGGAGACGGTTTAACGGGCACCTATTATGCAAAATCCACTTTTACAAGGTGTTTGGACAGAAATATGTGTTGGAGTTGTGTGTACACAGCCACCTTAGAATGATAAAAATCCATCCAGTCATTTTTAAAAAATCTTTATAAAACCAAACCAGGTTAAAAAAAAACGAGCGGTTTGGATCCAGACCGCAATATGACATCATATTTCGGCAGCCCCGCCCACCACTATTGACTGACAGGTGCGTTTTACCATATCCACAGCTCTCAGTGTGTTGTGCCGTCTCCGCCATTTTGTCTCGCCGCGGCATCTCCGAGATACGGCCTGTCAAAGTTGTGGATTTGTCGTGGCCACCGCTCCGGGCTTTCTCATCGAACCGAGTTTGAAGCGCCTGGGCCGCTCAGAGTTCAAACGAGCTTGGGTCTGACTTCCACCCCCTCCGAGCCGCTCGTCCAAGCCGGGGAGAGTGGGTGGGTCGGAGGGGGTGGAAGAACTCGGTTCGAACACTTATATTTCAGCGAGGCGGGAGTCCTGGGAGCCCAAACTCGGGTGGGAGGTAGAGCCTCGTGGCCCTGTCCGGACGTCACCGGCCCCCGTGGTCCGGCAAGGTCCGGTTCGGAAGAAATCGGGCCGTGAAGCCGTAACTTCACGGGGCGATTTATCCACCATACCCAGGGCTAGCGACTCGGGGCAGACGGTGTTCGGACGGGCCCGAGGCCCTATCTCATGACCCGAGTTTGAACTTTGAAGCTGACTCCGGTTCATACATGTACGGCTGAACACCGGTCCTCTCGATCTCACTCATGTTGCTTCTCCTCTCTGTTTATTGCCATACACAAAGCAGAGACGTCTAGGCTCCGCCCCCTTGAAATCCACCTTTGAAACAGCACTTTTTAGACCCGCCCCAAAAATTACATTTTCAACACATTATAATAAACAATTTGTATGGTATTTTGAGCTGAAACTTCACAGGCACATTCTGGAGAGCCATAAGATTAATATTACATCTTGTAAAAACGGGCATAATAGGTGCCCTTTAATAGCGTGTCAGTTTGTGTAAGATAAACTGTTCACCTGCAGCCACACACAAAACAACAAAAAACAAGATCCCACTGAACAACACTGCAAAACGTGTCAGGTTACATATGTAACCATGGTTCCCTGAGTAGGGAACGAGACACTGCGTCCTCTAGGGGTCGCTATGGGGAACGCCTCATCGTGACCCGTGTCTGAAGCATACATTGAAAAAACACCAACGCGTTGGCCGGCGACAGCCATGACGTCACTACCGGTGCGACTATAGTATAAATAGGCGCCGGGAGCACACATCATTCACTTCTTCGTCTGAAGCTTGCGTCCGCAGCATGGCAAGAAACCTAGAGGACGCAGTGTCTCGTTCCCTACTCAGGGAACCATGGTTACATATGTAACCTGAGACGTTCCCTTTCATGGGAACTTCGAACTGCGTCCTCTAGGGGTCGCTATGGGGAACGCCTCATCGTGACCCGTGTCTGAAGCATACATTGAAAAAACACCAACGCGTTGGCCGGCGACAGCCATGACGTCACTACCGGTGCGACTATAGTATAAATAGGCGCCGGGAGCACACATCATTCACTTCTTCGTCTGAAGCTTGCGTCCGCAGCATGGCAAGAAACCTAGAGGACGCAGTGTCTCGTTCCCTACTCAGGGAACCATGGTTACATATGTAACCTGAGACGTTCCCTTTCATGGGAACTTCGAACTGCGTCCTCTAGGGGTCGCTATGGGGAACGCCTCATCGTGACCCGTGTCTGAAGCATACATTGAAAAAACACCAACGCGTTGGCCGGCGACAGCCATGACGTCACTACCGGTGCGACTATAGTATAAATAGGCGCCGGGAGCACACATCATTCACTTCTTCGTCTGAAGCTTGCGTCCGCAGCATGGCAAGAAACCTAGAGGACGCAGTGTCTCGTTCCCTACTCAGGGAACCATGGTTACATATGTAACCTGAGACGTTCCCTTTCATGGGAACTTCGAACTGCGTCCTCTAGGGGTCGCTATGGGGAACGCCTCATCGTGACCCGTGTCTGAAGCATACATTGAAAAAACACCAACGCGTTGGCCGGCGACAGCCATGACGTCACTACCGGTGCGACTATAGTATAAATAGGCGCCGGGAGCACACATCATTCACTTCTTCGTCTGAAGCTTGCGTCCGCAGCATGGCAAGAAACCTAGAGGACGCAGTGTCTCGTTCCCTACTCAGGGAACCATGGTTACATATGTAACCTGAGACGTTCCCTTTCATGGGAACTTCGAACTGCGTCCTCTAGGGGTCGCTATGGGGAACGCCTCATCGTGACCCGTGTCTGAAGCATACATTGAAAAAACACCAACGCGTTGGCCGGCGACAGCCATGACGTCACTACCGGTGCGACTATAGTATAAATAGGCGCCGGGAGCACACATCATTCACTTCTTCGTCTGAAGCTTGCGTCCGCAGCATGGCAAGAAACCTAGAGGACGCAGTGTCTCGTTCCCTACTCAGGGAACCATGGTTACATATGTAACCTGAGACGTTCCCTTTCATGGGAACTTCGAACTGCGTCCTCTAGGGGTCGCTATGGGGAACGCCTCATCGTGACCCGTGTCTGAAGCATACATTGAAAAAACACCAACGCGTTGGCCGGCGACAGCCATGACGTCACTACCGGTGCGACTATAGTATAAATAGGCGCCGGGAGCACACATCATTCACTTCTTCGTCTGAAGCTTGCGTCCGCAGCATGGCAAGAAACCTAGAGGACGCAGTGTCTCGTTCCCTACTCAGGGAACCATGGTTACATATGTAACCTGAGACGTTCCCTTTCATGGGAACTTCGAACTGCGTCCTCTAGGGGTCGCTATGGGGAACGCCTCATCGTGACCCGTGTCTGAAGCATACATTGAAAAAACACCAACGCGTTGGCCGGCGACAGCCATGACGTCACTACCGGTGCGACTATAGTATAAATAGGCGCCGGGAGCACACATCATTCACTTCTTCGTCTGAAGCTTGCGTCCGCAGCATGGCAAGAAACCTAGAGGACGCAGTGTCTCGTTCCCTACTCAGGGAACCATGGTTACATATGTAACCTGAGACGTTCCCTTTCATGGGAACTTCGAACTGCGTCCTCTAGGGGTCGCTATGGGGAACGCCTCATCGTGACCCGTGTCTGAAGCATACATTGAAAAAACACCAACGCGTTGGCCGGCGACAGCCATGACGTCACTACCGGTGCGACTATAGTATAAATAGGCGCCGGGAGCACACATCATTCACTTCTTCGTCTGAAGCTTGCGTCCGCAGCATGGCAAGAAACCTAGAGGACGCAGTGTCTCGTTCCCTACTCAGGGAACCATGGTTACATATGTAACCTGAGACGTTCCCTTTCATGGGAACTTCGAACTGCGTCCTCTAGGGGTCGCTATGGGGAACGCCTCATCGTGACCCGTGTCTGAAGCATACATTGAAAAAACACCAACGCGTTGGCCGGCGACAGCCATGACGTCACTACCGGTGCGACTATAGTATAAATAGGCGCCGGGAGCACACATCATTCACTTCTTCGTCTGAAGCTTGCGTCCGCAGCATGGCAAGAAACCTAGAGGACGCAGTGTCTCGTTCCCTACTCAGGGAACCATGGTTACATATGTAACCTGAGACGTTCCCTTTCATGGGAACTTCGAACTGCGTCCTCTAGGGGTCGCTATGGGGAACGCCTCATCGTGACCCGTGTCTGAAGCATACATTGAAAAAACACCAACGCGTTGGCCGGCGACAGCCATGACGTCACTACCGGTGCGACTATAGTATAAATAGGCGCCGGGAGCACACATCATTCACTTCTTCGTCTGAAGCTTGCGTCCGCAGCATGGCAAGAAACCTAGAGGACGCAGTGTCTCGTTCCCTACTCAGGGAACCATGGTTACATATGTAACCTGAGACGTTCCCTTTCATGGGAACTTCGAACTGCGTCCTCTAGGGGTCGCTATGGGGAACGCCTCATCGTGACCCGTGTCTGAAGCATACATTGAAAAAACACCAACGCGTTGGCCGGCGACAGCCATGACGTCACTACCGGTGCGACTATAGTATAAATAGGCGCCGGGAGCACACATCATTCACTTCTTCGTCTGAAGCTTGCGTCCGCAGCATGGCAAGAAACCTAGAGGACGCAGTGTCTCGTTCCCTACTCAGGGAACCATGGTTACATATGTAACCTGAGACGTTCCCTTTCATGGGAACTTCGAACTGCGTCCTCTAGGGGTCGCTATGGGGAACGCCTCATCGTGACCCGTGTCTGAAGCATACATTGAAAAAACACCAACGCGTTGGCCGGCGACAGCCATGACGTCACTACCGGTGCGACTATAGTATAAATAGGCGCCGGGAGCACACATCATTCACTTCTTCGTCTGAAGCTTGCGTCCGCAGCATGGCAAGAAACCTAGAGGACGCAGTGTCTCGTTCCCTACTCAGGGAACCATGGTTACATATGTAACCTGAGACGTTCCCTTTCATGGGAACTTCGAACTGCGTCCTCTAGGGGTCGCTATGGGGAACGCCTCATCGTGACCCGTGTCTGAAGCATACATTGAAAAAACACCAACGCGTTGGCCGGCGACAGCCATGACGTCACTACCGGTGCGACTATAGTATAAATAGGCGCCGGGAGCACACATCATTCACTTCTTCGTCTGAAGCTTGCGTCCGCAGCATGGCAAGAAACCTAGAGGACGCAGTTCGAAGTTCCCATGAAAGGGAACATCAACTGAGAAACAAGAAATTAAGAAAGAGAAAAATTTCGAACACTCACGAGCTTCAACACGCTCTCAGCAGCACTCGAGAGAGAGAGAGAGAGAGAGCGAGAGCGAGAGTGAGAGAGAGAGAGAGAGAGAGAGAGAGAGAGAGAGAGAGAGAGAGATAGAGGGTCACATCAAA